TTAAAAAAACTAAACAAAAAACCAGAACTTTAAATAGTAAAATTGATACTAATATTGACTTACATTTTTTATGATATATTTAAATTTATATTTTATTCAAAAATAAAAACATAATCGTTTTCTCAAAACCACTAAAAACCATATTATATCGACATAAATAAATAATAAAACGAAACATTAAAATTGAGATATATCTCGTTATATTATGCGAACACCCTTCTAGTGTACTGCATCATGATCAATTGTGATATTTTCAAATTTGTAACTCCCAATTAATTATTTAGGAGTTACATAAAATGACAAATTATTTAAATACCCTTGTATTTAATATATGAGTTACATTTGAACTAAAGAAAAAGATAGAATATGATTGGTTAAGTTTGGTTAACATAGTTAACACAAAAAATTGGTTAGTATTTGAACCAAACTTTCTCTCTCTCCCTTTCTCTCTCTCTCTCTCTCTCTCTCTCTATATATATATATATATATATAATATTTCCATAATCATGATAACACATAGGAACCAAACTTGTAATCGACACTTAGTTAGTGTTTTATTTCTTTTAATATTACAACAATATCAGTGTCTTTCTCAATTATATATGAACATTACTACTTTCATTCTAACATAATAAACATAAAGTAAACAATGTATTTTCTTATTACAGTAATATACTTTTATTTTGTTATTACAACAATATATTTTCATATTATTTTTTATTAAAGCATTGTATTTTGAAAAATATACATATTATAACAACCAGTTTTATTTGCTTACATGACATGTGTTTTTGTTGCATGACTTGAAGTGAAAAAAAACATTCTTTTACAATTACATATTTGGTCCCTAAGCAACATTTTTTTGTCGTACTCAACCCTCCTGTGTTACTTTTGCCGTTACTCTTCTTCTTCTTCCCCTACACCCTCTAAGCACCACCAATGAGATTTCCTCCATTGTTTCTAAAGGTTTTGTAGCATGGTTCTATCAAACAAGAAGCTTAAGTAAAAGGATACGAACCCAACTAACCAATTTCTTGGCCAAATCAGAGTCTCAGTTAAACCAATCTGATCTCGATGACTCACAAACCCACCGGTCCTTAAAATCTCGAATTCAACGACCCAAAAACCCAAATTATCCAAGGGAAAAACAGAGAGTAGATCATCTTATCACTACAAAAACATTTAGAGCTTTAAAATCATGAAAATAGTGTTGTCCATAGAGAAAGTGAATAGCGTAGTAGAGAAATTAAGGTTTTTTTAATGCTTTAACAATGTGTATCAAGATTTAAAGACTTGTATATTAATTGTAAAAAATAAATAAATATATAATAAATTATAAAAAAATTGTTAAGAAAAGGGGCCTGATGTTTATATATTTATATATAATTAGAAGGTTACTCACGCAATGTAGTGAAATATATTTTGATTTTAATATTTCATTTTATTCTTTATCTCA